TCTTTTCCATTGAGTTAAATGTGTTGTGTGTTAAGAGTTCTCAATACTTCAGTCTGGTAGTAGATGACTGTAACGTCTGATTTAACCGTGCAAATCACGGGTTGAAACCCCAAACCCACGCTATGATTCTTCATGTTTCTATAGATGTAATTACGACTCACACGCGATGAATTTGGCGCGTTGCAATGGGTGTGGGCTGGCAGGCATGTGTAAGTACTTTCTACAACACCGTGGTTCATGGCTCTGTTTGTACTGGAGGGATAGAAGCGTCTGATTGGCGGAAAATCGATTCTTGATCTCCTTAACGAAGCGGTTGCTTTCTTCGATTTTCTCGAATGGAAGGCCCGTCGATTCTTGATTTGCCTATCGACGCTGTTTCGTTTACTTCGATTTTCTCGAATTGAGGGCCCGTCGATTCTTGATTTGCCTATCGACGCTGTTTTGATTACCTGGATTATGTCGAATCGAGAGCCAATTGATTCTTTACTTACGAAACGACGCTGTTTCAACTGCCTCGGTTATGTCGAACGGTAGAATGATGAGTAATTATTATAAACTGAAAAAGAGGTAGAAGGTTGGCTGATATGCAGGATGTTATATTTAGACTTCGTGTATTACTCCGTCTTAGCAATGGCGGAAAGATCAGTCGAGGAAACAGATCAAAGCAATCTCATGACGATTAAATAAGACGTTATGGGAAAATCTTCCACGTTTACTTCCTTTCTGTATTGTGAGGCTAAACTAATGATTAATAATAATAATAAAAAATGTATATTTAAGTTATTCAGTTCTGCTTACTTCCTTTCTGTATTGTGAGGCTGAACTAATGATTAATAATAATAAATGTATATTTAAGTTATTCAGTTCTGATATAATTTCCAATAATGAATATTCTAAGTGTTTTAAATTTATTATATGAAATCTAGAGTTATCGTAACTTCGTCGTTGTTGTAACTGTTAGCGTGTTAGAGTGACAAACAAATGTTTCGTTCAAAATTTGTACATTTGTACATAGATGACTTTTAAGAAAACTGTACGCATATTTTAAAACAGGGTTTGAATCCAGCGTAAAGTCTCATTTAAATTTATTTCTTTCAACGTCAAATTTTAGACCAGGCATAAGCAACCACCATCGCTTGTCATCCCGTCCACGTAAAGATTTAAAGTTTTTAAAAACATTGCTTAATTGACAACTGTAATTTATCTGATGTATAAGATATCGAGGTGTTTTATGTTTTCGTCAATGAAAGATCAATGTTTTTAGTTAATCTCGACTTTTGTACAACTACTTGTAATTACTTAATTGATATATAATATCACGGCCTGAAAAATGGATGCGGCCCGAAATTACTTAAAGGCTGCCATGCCTGCTTTAAACGAACTTAAAGGTAATATGCATCATGTGATCTATAATTTTTCTGTCTCATTAATGTCGTGAGGATGATTTACGGGTACCGTCTTTCATGTGTTCTGAATTATAAAATACTTGTAACTGAAAGTGCATAAGAACAATTTCCGTAAGGTACATTTTGCTATTAAGGTAAATGACAGAATGGACTTAAATGGAAATGTAACCTTGTCCTTACCCGTCGAACAGATAAAATTGTTGGAGGTCCTGACCTTTTGTTCCATTCCGGCCGACACGAGACGAGATGCGTCACTGTGGAAGGCTGTTCTGAGAGTCGCCTTATGTCGTTCATTCGTTCAAAGAGTTAGGTGTTGTAACGTGCTCCATGAATATAAGGGAGACGTCACTCCAAGTGAAAAACAGCAAATCATTGATATGGTGATGTTACCTCCGCCCTACAGATGTCCTTTCGTGTCTTTTACTCAGAACTGCTGCGTTAATCAAAGCAGGTAATTACGGTAAGACGAATGCAAAGAACATTCCATGATTTGTTCTTTGTAAGTCCTGCATTTCTGTCCATTCCTGGAAATATAAAAATATAATAAGTCAAATTTATAGTTTTATATGAGATCGACTCTTTAAGAACAGGAAAAATATTTGGGCCTATTAGTGAAGAAGTAAAAGGAAAATGAAGAAAACTTTATAATTTAGAATTATCGCCAAATATTATGACGATCAAACCAGGAAGGATGACATGAGAAATGCATGCAAAGTTCTGGTTGGTAAATCTAAGGGCAGAGATATCACGGAAGACCCAGTTTTAGATGTGAGGTTAACAGACTCTAAAAAATTAATATTTAAGACGAAGGATGGGTTGTAACTGAACTGTCGTGGTTGAGGATAGTGACTAGTGGCGGACTCTTACGAAGAAGGAAATGCACCTTTCGGTTTCATATAAGAAGATAAATTTCTTGACTAACTAAATAACATTTAGCTTCCCAAAACGGATTCTTCTGTATGAAGTGAGGTATTTCTATTCTAAAAACATGATATTCTAATTTGTGTTTCGTATTTATTTGTGTCTTTGAAACTTGACCACTTAATCTGAGATAAGCCGATTCTCTAAAGGTTTGTGACAATGTTTGATTCATTATTGATGTCGTAAAATGAGTCATAAATAAAAAATAAATAAACTAATTAATCAGTTCAGTAATTTCACAATTTAATTTAGATAAAAGTGCAGAAAATCTGACCCAAAGAGAGAATAACAGAGTCTAATTTACATTTACGTCCTTGCTAGTATGTCACACATCGTGTTATTTCGTTTTCTGACGGAACAGATTTGCTAAAAAAAGGTTATATTTGTCTTCTGAGTTATAACGTCGGAGGTACCAACATCAGATCAGATCAGATCATGCACTAACTACTGCAACTTATGTTCACTGTGGTTTTTCTCAGTTGCTTCACGCAGACGGTGTTACAGTACTTTCAAATCAGCCACGACCTTCTGAGTTAAAATTGCTGCCTTTATGGCATTCTTCCTTCCCATTCCATGTTGTATAACCCCTAGAGCTGAAACAGCTTTATATATTTTTTATAAGCAATGCAATAGCTTATGTTCCATTCGATGCTGTATGCAAATGCAAATAATACTTTGTTCGTAGAAGCGAATTCTGTAGGTATTATTTCCGAGAATTGCCAGACAGATAATAAAAACATCACAAAACCACACTCAATTTATTTGTTTCAAGGTTCTAATTGTGGATCCTCAATGCACGGAACAACATGTTTAAATCAACAGATACTCTCGTCACTATAAATAGACCTACAGGTCCATGGGGAATTCCCCCCGACAATGATGGGATGTGAAGGACCAATCAGGCCCACAGTCAGACCCTGGAACGCAATCCTATGCTGTTAACTAAAATTTAAAGGTTTAGATAAATCCGCGATCAAGGTTTCCTTTCGTTTATTTCATTATATTAATTCCTTCATCCTAAATCTTTTCGAATTTTTTTTTTCCAAAATGTATTCCTTGAGGTTGAGTAAAATTACGTAATGAGCTGCATAATTTGCAGTGTTCACTATACATGGTTATTCATAATTCCCTAAAAATCACTATTACGTATTAATTATAAAAAATCACTAAATTTGAATAGTGCAATGGATGATAACATAGGACATGCCGATAGAAAGAGAAACTCTCCAAGTATATGATTATCACACCTAGGTGGAATGGATGGGCTGGGTGTGTAACACGCATGGGAGAGATGTGAGAATCTCGCTTTAGCTGTTACCGTGTCAACTCGTGTCATTTATTTCCATTATAAAATTCTTTATGACATTGACCTTGGACAGGTTTATGGAATTAAAACGTAGATGTAAAAGTGATAACGGACCAAAGAAAAGCTGTTAACGTTATGACAATAGATTATTAAAAAAAAAGATTCTAGATAAGTCTCGCCATGGTAAGAACGTAGCAGCAATTGGCAGGAGATTCCGTTGAAATTTTATTTTAAATTATAACTTAACTGCTGGCATTTTACTTTAATGCTTAACTTTCCGGTAATGCGAGGGTGGAGGAGGGTCCTCTTTAAGAAAACACGAATGGGAATTAATTCTTAAATGAAATAAAAACATGTACAAAGTTTGAAATTTACTCCTAAAAACGGTACATTATTTTTATACACAGCCGCCTTCTACTTCAATACACTTACGCCAATGATAAACTGACTTTTTCAAATCCATTCTTGTAAAACTGAGTTTTGTTCACGAAAACGTTTCTCACAATAGACTTCACTTATTCATCTGACCCAAAACGCTGTCCCCGTAAAAGTGCATTGAGCTTAGGGAACAGATGAAAATCACTTGGTGCCAAATCTGGACTGTACGGGAGCTGAGGTAAGACGTTAATTAATTTATGGAATTAAAAATATTTAAAAAATAACATTAATTAAAGTATAAAGACTATGCTATAAAACTCCTAAGCCAATATTACGATTTGTCCAGCCTTCAAACTTGAGAACCCCTTGTCGGCTATCCACTACTGCTTATTCCATAAATTCACAGTTATCTTCCATATCTGGAGCCCTTATTCTCAAATTTGATGACGTACCATGTCGTGGCGATAGGGGGGGACATTTAACACGAAAAATAGACCTTTCGTTAACATAATGATATAAGCCTACTACAAAATAGTTGTAATTCATATGTGGAAAAAGTTGAATTCCGGAGAAGACACAGCGTAGGCCAATTTCAGAAGATTCTTACTGTTTTGTTGCAAAAACAGAGTTTGGCGGTGAACGTATCTTATGAGAAAACGGCAGTCTTGATAAAAGAATTTCATATCCGGTCTTGTGACTCTTAACACACTTTTCTCACGATTATTATTCATATATTGTTATTATTTCGGTACACTAATGTAAAAAAAAATAGTACCACAATCTATAAACTTTTTTTGAATTCGAGGTCATGGAAATTCTTCCTTATATAATTTTATCGTAAGTAATAAAGTTGAAATACGCACAAAATTATAACAAGTATTTCTGTATGGCCGTGTATTTAATGTTTCATGGGGTAAGACTGTCTCAGTGAAATCACGGCCTGTAACGGGCACTTTGTCCATCCCCTAGAAGATACATGATTCTGGAGCAGAGGTTGAATGTTACTGACAGGGTAAAACCGAAGAACTCGGAGATAAACCTGTTCAAGTGTCGCTTTATCCACCACAAACCCACGCTAACTGACCTGGGAGTGAAGTCGGGCCTCCGCGGTGAGGGGACGGCGACTGACCGCCTCTGCACGGTCTGAGTAGGAATGGAGATCAACGCTTTCGGGTTATGTAGCGCCATTTGGGAGTCACAAAAGATTTTTATTCATATATCACGCTATAACCAATAAAACACGGAAACCAGACATGTGGAATTTTCTATACAGACGTAATATAAAAAACAGATTCTGCTCGAAACACTTTTATAGGGCTATATCTGTACTAAAAACGTATCTTAGGTACGGATAGGGAATGTTTTCGGGCTTTTGTGAGCATGGTAATGAACCGCCTGGTTCTATAAAAGGCTGGAAATTTGTTTGCCTAACAGAGCATATTATTAGGTATTCAAGAATTATTTATCTCCATGAAGCCAGTTAACTTTGTAATATTTATATGTTAATTTCAAACATGACAACGTGTGAGGTTGCAACTGACATATAACGTACTTGAAATCTGTATTTGTAAAACGTTTGTGTAAAATATGTAATTATTACATTAGAATGCATATTTGTTGTTAGAGTCACCAAATATATTAAACACCTGAAGGGTAGAAGGCGAACATTGCGATGAACTTCCTGCGATTTGTTAACCAGATGAGTCAATATCATATTTTAAAGGAATAATTTGCACCGTCTAGCTAATTACAATTACTAACTTTATAAATTCTGTATAATATTACAGCATTGATCCATGAAAGGAAAGTAATTACTAACAGAGTAACTAAAGGGTAAATGCGTATCGCTCATTGCTTTAATTAACACTATCTGTACGTGACATATGCCTGTTGCAAATCGAAAAGACTTGTTTTACTTGGCAGATATTTGTAGGCACTCCCTGAGTGCGTATGTTCTAATTTTTTATTTTATTAGAAAGGAGAAAAAATGTATTTATAATATACGAGCAGACCTACTTAATTACTGAAATATAAATCCTCTGGTTATGAGCACTATAAGATAACGCTGAATGTATATAAATTATTTATCCTTGCGTTTTATTTTTTGTTCACCAATCCGAAAACCGTATCAAATATAAATTTTAAATCATAGATGGGCTTTTACGTGACCGTTATGAACCAAATTTAACTTTGATCAACAAAATTAAATGCAGATTCTCACTGCTAAATTTTTATCAGAATTGATTGAGTATTTTCGGAGGTGAGACGTGAAATAATGTTCTATTAATTTTTAAATAAAGATAATATTTGTAAATAATATTTTACTGACACATTTGAGGTTATGATAATTGAAAACAGTGATTTTAAAAAAACTGTCACTTACACATTGTATTTATTGATCAGTTTATAGTGCAGCGTCAAGGACTTATGAATCTATGTTTTGTGAACATTCAGTTTACGATAAACACCTTTAATTAGCAGGGAAGAAAGAAAATGTTTACGTATGTCCGTGAAACTTGTGGAAAGTTAGTATGCAAATCGCTCGTTTTCACTGTTAATAAGAAGATAAGTGTGTAAAGTCATGACATACGCGTATGCATTTTACATTACCTGCAGTCTAACGGCAATTTAAAAATATAATCACCAACTAACCAACAATCGTGTGTTACACAGATAGCGAAAAAGTCGTTTTGAAAATATATGCAAGCCTTACCAACGCGTGTACCCTAGACGTAATGTTATCACAGTCTACGACTAATGCCTTTGTTTACGAAGGATATTTATGGAAAAAGATAAGCAGGATCACAGTTTTGAGAGGACAGAAATGGTCCCATCTAAAGTAGCAGAGCGGTAATCGACATTCCCTCTACACTCTTTATCAGTAATTTTTAATATTATATCCATAATTATCGAGAAAAA